CGTGGGAGTGCGGGGCGCCCGGCCCCCGGCAGCCAGCAGCTGTGGAGACATCCACAGGGGTGGCTTTGTCTGCTGGTGGCCATGGTCCCAGTGGGAGGGTGTGTTACCTCTTGGCGGGGCAGCAGGCAGACAGTCATTTGTGGCCTCAAAGGACCTGGCGGTCAGCCTTTGTGGGTGGCCTCACCTGCCCCGGAAGGAGAGGGGCACAGGGCACTGTCTTCCCCCTCGCTGCCTCCCCATCGCCCCGGGGAGCTGGCCAGGCCTGCCTCTCCCCGGGGGACTTCCATCAGAGGGACCGTGAGGCTAAGGAGTGTCCTGGGGCCACAGAAGTGGGGGGAAGCCAAACTGGGGTGCACAAGCCTGCTCCAGGGGTCCTGCTCCCACTAGGCCCCCCATGGCTTCCAGAATAGAGGCCACTCCCCTTGGTGGGGTGCACCCAAGCTCAGGAAGCCGAGGAGCTTGTTGGGGGAGGGGGCTAGGGCTCCATGGAAGGGGGTGAGGGACAGAGAACTTGGGGGACATGGGGGGGGCGGTGCTGAGGGAGCCTGAGGGCCAGAAAAAGGACTGGGCCTTAAGTAACAATGGCTGGCCCTGGCCGGGAGCTCAGCTGGTTAGAGCGTGGTCCTCATACACCAAGGTTTGGGGTTTGATCCCTGGTCAGGGCACACACAAGAGTAACCAACGAGCCCTGGCTGGTGTGGCTCAGTGGATAGAGCATCAGACTGCGGACTGAAGGGTCCCAGGTTCGATTCCGGCCAAGGGCACAGGCCCGGGTTGCCAGCTCGGTCCCAATAGGGGGTGTGCAGGAGGCAGCCAATCAATGATTCTTTCTCATCACTGATGTTTCTATCTCTCCCTCTCCCTTCCATTCTGGAATCAATATTTTATATATATAAAGAAGTAACCAATGAGTGCATCAGTTAGTGGAACAACAAATCGATGTTTCCCTCTCCCCGTCCCCCCTCAAATCAATAAATTAAAAAAGTCGGTGACAATAAAGTAACAATGGGCCTGGGCCATCGGCCTCCCCCATCTTCCTGACCACGCCCACCCCCCCAGCCCCAGCAGTACCCCTGGGCCAGGAGCAGGGGACCGGCCCCAGCAGCTGACTCTGACCCAGCTCTCCCCGCTCTGTGCACGGGCTGGGGGCGAGGGCGAGGGCCGGACTTTGCGAAGCTTCCTTTCCGCTGGCGGCTGGGGGTCAGGCTGGAGGGGCAGGAGGCCCAGGCGCCTCCCCGGTGTCTGGTGACA